TCCCAGTCCCCAGATAAATGGGAGTCTGGAGGTACTGCTACCCTAGCCAACAAGATCTGGGTCATGGGTCACGGGCTACAGAAGGATGGGAGTGCAAACCTAAAGTTTATGGATGTAGGGGAGTTCAGACAATTTGTCCACATGTCAGCAGAAATTTTCACAGAAGATAGTAAAGTAAGAGTTTCTTCCGGTGGCCAGCTTGACTGATTCTCAAGAGTATATTGAAGACAGGCCTTAGAGCATAAGGGAATCAGACATTAGAAAGCTCTAATTTGAATAGATTTTGTAAAAGATACACAAAGGTTATTTGGGGATTGGGCTTAAACCTGCAGCTTCCAGTTTCACAAGCCTGTGTTGAAACCCAAAGTCTAAATCAATGTGTCCAATGCTCTAGGCTTGGTTTGAGGGTGAGCATGGTATGTGCCTTTGTGCAGAACTCTCCTGTACAAAAGGTTTCATGGAGCAAAGACAATCTTTGCTCTGTAAACAGGTTAGTCTTGCTCTGGTATGGCAATGTCTTAATAGGATATCTCAAGAGTAGACTCAGAAGAGATCCTGGACCTCTATAGATAGTGACGTGGAATGGGTTACTTACTGAGCCAAAAGTTGATCCAGTCTGGAGGAAAGGGGGCCTAAAGAAAAGAGTGGATTCCTAGGTGACATGAGCCCATAAGGAAAGCTTAACTATTCCTAAACGATGTACTAAGATAAAAGGTTTCCATACCCCAATATTAAGTCTCTACTGATGCAGTAAGACAAATTAAAAGTAAAAGACCAGGTTTATTAGGCAAAGCATTCCAAGGTGACCTTTCTGGTCCTCAGAGATGAGATGGGGATAGGAAACTGGAAAACAAAATCACATGGCCGCAATCAAAATGGTGGATTACATACCCTGTTTGCATGGTCTTGAATAGCTCCAGGAGAGCAGCTGTTGCTTGGCAAACTTTCTGAGAGGGTGGGACAGCTGAACACTTACCGTGTGTGTGTGTGTGTGTGTGTGTGTGTGTGTGTGTGTGTGTGTGACTGCGTGTGTCTGTGTATATTTTGAGACAGAGTTTCTCTGTGTATCCTTAACTGTCCTGGAACTCCCTCTAAAGACCAGTAGTTTTGTTTCAAACCCAGATATTTGCCTGAATCTACCTCCCGAGTGCTGGAATTAAAAATGTGTGTCACCACTGTCTGGTTTTCTTAACCTCTCTAAGATCCACTCTTTGTATGATGATGACAAATGACGATGGCAAACATTCTTCAGCTTGTGAGTAGAAGCAAGTAGGTCTTTCCATATAAAATTACAATACAGATTATATTCTTAATATAAATTTGGAAGGTGTTAGAAAAATCAGTCAATAGTAATTTTATGCTGTAGAATAATCACTGTACACTGTAAAGATTTGTCTCTGTGATTGGTTTAATAAACAAGTTGACTGTCTAATAGTTCAACAGGAAAAGGTTAGGCAGGAAAGCCAAACTGAGACTGCTGGAAAGAAGAAGGGTAGAGTGAGAGGAGATGCCAGGAGCCACAGATGTAGCAGAACATGCTGAAGGATGGGTAGAGTCACAAGCCCCATGGCAAAACACAGGATAATAGAAATGGGTTAATTTAAGTTATAAGACTTCAATTAGTTCTATTTAAATTAGAATTAGCTTATATTGTATTTTTAATTTTAGAGATAAAATTGTTAAACTCAGAATGGCCTGAGCTACCAGTTGAGCATTTATAAGTAATGTTAAACCTCTGTGTGAGTATTTGGGAACGGCTGCAGGAAGGAAACATGTACTAACAGTAATGAACCACTAAAAGCCCAGAAAGGTGATTTAGCAGTTAATTGTACTTGGTGCTTTTCCAGGAGACCAGAGTTTGGTGTCCAGCATTCAAATAGGCGGCACAACATTCCTGTACCTTCAGCTTTAGGAAATCTAAAGCCCTCTTATGGTCTCTGCAGTACCTCTACTCACAGTTACACTACTTCACACAGGCATACAGATAATGCAAATATACTTTTCAAATAATAAAAATTTTAAAGAGTAGCCTATGAACTAACCAAGGACTTCCAAAAGTTAGGGAAGGTTCAAGGCCTAGCTTTGAAAATTACCAGTAACTACTGGCATACACACAGGTGTCTTCTCCTCTAAAGTAATAATTGTATGATTATGAAGTTTGGGCTGTCCTTTAATCCCAGTCACCAATAGTGAAACTGAAATTAGATCTGATAAGTGACTGAACACACTTCTCACATTGATCTGTTTATAAAAAGTGATTTAATAAATGTTCTTTTTTTGTGTCTCTTGGAGTATTTTCATTTTCTGAAGATGTCAGCTGTGCTAGGTGAATTTTTAATTTTCTACCAGCAATGTTTGTTATTATTATTACCTTTTTATTTAGCAAGATTACTCAGGGAAATAGGCAGAGTTCTTAAATATGCTTTAACAGTTCTGAAATAGTTCCCCTAAGAGTTTAGGCAAGAATATATCACAATGAGTCCACAGAATGTCCTTTTCATCAGGAAAACAAACAAATTACTTTCATTACATTTGAATTAAGGTTAACAGAATATACATAACTGTAGAGAAATAAGGAAACATGGGTTAAAAGATGTGTTCTTATTTTCTGTGTAATTTCAAATATCAAGATGGAGTGAAAGTTGGGAGCAAGGAAAGCTCACACCCACTAGATAAATCCAAAAATTTAAGCAATTTTTTACACATTCTTACCACAAAGCATAAATCATGAAGAAACATTTAAAATGGAGAATTAGCTTATTGTGTGTTTTTTTTTAATTTTAGAGATAAAAATCATTAAACTCAAAAGGGCTAGAAACACTTTATTGATGTAAAGATACAAACAGATGGTTGTTGAGAAGATACTTTCAAATTATAATCATCAATAAAAGTTTGGACAAACTTTAAACAATTATTGTCACTGTTAATTGCTCCATAATTAGTTTCTCTAAATCTACATTTACAATAACATTTGTTATTTTTTTATCAATTTATTTCATAAAGAAATAACTAATGATATTTAAAACTCCATGGAGATAAAATTAGTGTCATCTCCAAAAGGTAATTTCAGAAAATATTTTCAAACATCTTAAGACACTTTATCTGTTGCCACAGTAAATCTGTGAAGCACTGTGCTGCTTGTTTTGTTGGTTCTCCTTTACACATGGAGATACAGACTCAGTCCATTTAATAAGTTTTCCAATGTCATTTGCTGTGCCAGAATAGCACTAAGTAAAATTGATTGCTGTATTTATTTTATACAGTCTAGTACCTGACACAGAGTAGCAAGAGTAAGTCCTTATTACATAGTCACTGAAAGATAATAACGAGGAGAATCCACCCCGTCACAGGAATTTTAAAACAACTGTAATATTTGCTCTCTCTTCTTTTATGCAGGAAATTGCATGAATGAAACCACACTTAAGCAGAGCACTTCATTCACGGTCCTCGTAAATTTGAGTTGCTGAATGAAGGGGCTTTGCAAGATGGTACCATCTGCTCAGTTCTGAAATGATCCATTTCTTGGTCTCCTTTCCCCTCCAAATGGTTCCATTAATCTAGTTCACTGTAGTGTTAGTTTGTTGTGGTGTGAATAAAATCTGTCAGCATCTGGTTAAAACTAACTTTCTTACAAAAGTTATTGACATCCCAACATTAATACTGAGCAGAAGATCCACACCTTAGTTGACGATTGATAAACTGACCTGTATTTTAGATCTCGAGAATTGTGGTTGGTTGCATTGCTTGAAAACCAGTCACATGACTAGGTCAGTCACTGAATAGCTCAGCCAGTGCTGAACTGATGATAGTGACAGAAATGGTAAGTCAAGTCATTTCCTGAGTTAATTTCTAACAAGTTCAGCTGCAACTGGAAACGTGATGAAAAATCACAGACACATTTTTTTTTAGAGTTGATAAGAAAAGCTCATTAAAACAGAGCATTTGTATCATCACTAAGATGAACACTCTCAAAAGTTATTTATGGTAATGCAAGGATGAGCAAGTTAAAAATTGCCATTCATTTAACTGGCATTAATGTCCAATTAGTAAAAGAAAGTAAGACATCTCATGACTATAACACGGACCAAATGTCTCACTTAAACATTGAACAGCATTTGTATTGTTTTCATTTGAAAAAGAAAATATTTAATTTTACAGGAAGAATGTATTGAGAAATACATTCTGTTTGCCTTGGTCACCTATGAATATTGATTTATCTAAACTTCCACCCAGGTGATGTTCTTACTGGGGCACAATCTGAAGAAACGTGAAAATTTCACATCTCCTTGACTGACATATTAAACAAATGATTTACCAGACATGCTTAACTACATGTCCATAGGAGAAAATGTCTTAATTAGAGCTCAAGACAAACCTCAGAAATAAGATTTGTCAAGCATATATGTTCTTTGTCACGTCCTCTCTGTCTGATATTTGAAGAATATGACAAGGGACTTACAACACTCTGGTGTAAGTCATACCTATTGTAGAACCTTGCCACACCTGAACTAGAAACAGACACTAATATAATGATAAACATAGGTATTTAAGTAAACTGAGTTTACTCACACGATGCAGAAGAGCAACTTTTGTGTATGTTCCTGTACCATTTAAGCCTAGAACACAGTCTGTTATCCATTTAAAAACTACCTGAAGCCAGAAATTTTGTTTCGTAAGTGTGCCAATTACATTTAAAAGAACAATACAAAATAAACTATAATGAGTGTACACTCTCACAATGAATAAAAACCACTAAATGTAAGTACCCTTCCCACAGCAATAGACACACATGAATATTCTTGAGTATTAGACCCTCCAACACATTTAATTATTACTCAACCCCTTTATCCGTGCCATCTCTTTATACCAGGCAGAAGGGCAGAATGTTTACAAAGAAATCTCAGCACTGGATAGTTTCAGTTGCCTGCGCCACCATTTAGACTAAAGAGATGATTCCTCTTCACACGGTCAATGCAGTTGTCAGGGTCGTACATGGGGGTCTACTGTCCTTGCTGCTTCTGTCCTGGAGAGTTTGGTTTGCCAGAGTTCTCTCCAGGACGTTGGGCAGGAGTGACAGGAAACTGAAATCCATAGCCATTGTATCCATCCAAGTAGACACATTGAAAGAAACTGATGGGATCTAAGGAAGAGAGTAGAATTTTTGTTACAAGTAGGACTTGGGCAGCAATAGAGCAAGACATTGAGATTGTACACCACAGTAAACTAACTACTCTCTGACTATAGTTAGCCCTCATAACTTCTAGACAAAACTAAACTTCATCATGCCTTGGGATATTCATGCATAAAATCAAGATAATAGAAATCATGATGGGAATACTGAAAAAAATAAAAGAACCAACATAGGGTATGTGTGTGTGTGCATATGTGTGTGTGTGTGCATGCGTGTGTGTATAAAATAATATCCCAGAGTCTGCAAGTTCTAAAATAAAATGAATTGTTCCATTTATCTTAATTTTGAAGCTAAGAGCTCTACTGAGACAACCTAGCGCAGATAATGCAAGCATAGTACACAGAAAAGTGAAACCAATGTAGCACAGGACCAGTGAGATGACTTAGCCAGTAAAGGAGCTTGCTGTCAATCTTGACTAAGTAAGCTCAAGCCCCGTGATGGAAGGGAGGATTCAACTCCTAATACAGTGTCTTATGACACCCATATACTAGATCTCTATCCCTCACCTTCAACTAACTAAAAAAAAAATACGTTTTTAAGCAGGGCAGTGTAAATTATTGCATGAAGCAGTATGCAGAACCTGAGCTCTGAACGTTAAATCAGGTCTCCCTGTAAGCAGCAGTGTTGAAAGGAAACGCCTCTCCTATAATCACAGATAAACTTCCTGATGTTTCACTATTTTCTAGCCTATCCATATATATTTTTGACAACAATTCTAGATATTTTGCAGAAGACCAGGGAAGAAAAGGCCAAATTCATATGAATGAAATGAAATGTGGCGGGGCTAGGGAGAAGCTGAACGAAGTAATACTTCCTCATAGGCTGGGCTCACAAATTTTCTTTGGCCATAGCCTCTCAAGTTCTGAGACTATAGGCATGAGTCACATTAATGGTATCCCCGGATTCCAGGGCTTAGAAGTAGTCTAGCCTCATTAACCAGGTTCTCAGATTAACCTGTTTTCTGTTTTGTTCTACTTTGGTGGTACAAACCCTCTTATAGTAGTGAGTGTGTATTAGATGAAAGTAACAAAAAACTGATGGAGTCATGGAGAAATGGCAGCACTGGAGCTAAAATTCAAGAGCCTATTCATGACTGGTCCATCCTTTTTGAACCTTAGAGGATGCAGGTGCTGTCCTGGCATATGCATCTAACTCATGCTGAAAGAGCTTTTAATAAAAATATCACTAGCTCCAAAACGTTTAGAACCTGCATTAAAGACTCATGAAGACTAGGATATAAAACTACTATGTTAAGATAAAAATGGGGAAAATGTTGTGATATAATTAATTCCACAAGTGGAAATCTGTGCTGAAAAGTATTTGATAATATTTAATATGTTTATTTATAATTATATTTGATTTTTCTTTCTCTTTCAAGAAACATTTTGGTCTGTAACAATGACTATTCTGGGTTACTTAGTATGTGTCCCAGGATGGTTTTTGAATGCAAGGCAATTATCATTTCTCAGCATCTAGAGAGCTAGTAGTAGAAACCATGCCTGGACAATTTTAATCACATCTTTCCTTGTTGAAATAATTTTAGATTCACATGCAATTGTAAAAAAAAAAAAAACGATACAGAGATATTCCACCCATGTTCACCCACTTTCTAATACAGACAAGATAAATAGGAAATTAATATGGATACAACCTACTTATTGAATTTCTAATGCTTATTTATGAAATAAGAAATTTCAACCATTGATGCAATTTAGTTGAAAATTATTGACAATGCTTTATCAATTGGAGAGCACTGCAGCTTGGATCATAACTGCTTTTTCATGAATTTTGAAATGGGATCTGAAATTATTTCATCAAGACTGCTTGCATGACTCCATTTTCCACAGTCTGATTTTATTAAGCATTTCAGGGATCCTCTTTCAAGCACGGCAATCATAGCGGTGTCACCAGCAACACTTGCAGCACTGTAGATATCTGAAGCTCTCCATTAATAAACCACTGCACCAAATACCTGCAGAAAGCACGGAGGAAGCCATGCAAACCCTACAGGAATTATTTTCCCAGCTAAATATTCAGTTGTTTACTTTAAAGCATTATGTGTGATGATCGTATTGGATCATATTTTAAAACTGCTTGTTCTCGTCTTCCTGGTGAAAGGGGTGTGTGTGTGTGTGCGTGTGTGTGCGTGTGTGTGCGTGCGTGTGTGTGTGCGTGCGTGCGTGTGTGTGTGTGTGTGTGTCCATGATTTGTTGCTTTACCATCTGAAAACAAATGTTTAATTTGGAAGCACTGGGAAATTGGGACTCTTGAGCTCCAAGTGTTGGAACTGCATGTGAATGCAGATTGGATTGTACAATCAAGGATCCCAGAAAACGACTGATAAAGTCTTGCCAGGTATTCAGCGATGTCAAAAGGAACTCTGAATCTTGGGAATGAATCTCTAAGCAACTGAATTGCTAAAATATATTTCTACATTTTTAAAAAACTCGAGTTAGAAAAGTTCAGCCCCTCACTTCTATGGATCTGTTATACAGCAGACAAGAACTCACAATTATGCAAGATTCTGCTAGAAAGCCCAGGATCAGAATTATGCAGAATGGTTCATGATAAATGCCACTTCAATCATTACTTGGAGTTATCCAACCCTGTACCTCTTTCTTGACATAAAAATGACAAGTTTCTCTTTGGAGCATAAATGGTTCATTTTAAGGTTATTCTTCAGGTCAAAAATCCTTTATAGCTAAAAAATCTTTTTTTCCCCTAATATTGTTCATAGGAGGCTCCAAGTTTAAGTTCTACATGGTATTGAGAAGTTCGCTATTTTTCTAACTTAATTATAAACTTACTTTTTTGTTTCTTTTGGGAAGATACATCATCAGTTACTTCTAGAGGAAAAAAAATTAAAAGGTAAGTTTTAATACGTGCAGAGATGTCATAGCATGCACATGGCTTGGGTCTTCTATACATCAGCACAGTAATTTTTTTTTATTTTATTAGACAGGATGTCTCTATGTAACAGCCCTGGCTGCTGGAACTATCTCTGTAGACCAGGCTTGCCACATACTCACAGAGAACCGCCTGCCTCTGCATCCTGAGTGCTGGATTAAAGGTATGTGCCATAACTGCCCAGCACGAGCACAGTATTTTAGTGGCAGAAAAAATCCTTCTTACACACTTGAGGTTTTTATCAATTTAGATTTTCAGTATTAAAAATGAGCTCACAGGTATAGAGAAACATGCTCTTGGCAATGGTACAAACAGGAAGGCTGGCCCTATTGGCTGGAGTCTGCTGGATGGGAACAAACTGGCCTATATACAGTCTTTGATGCTCAGATATAAGATAGTAAAGTAGCATCTATGTAAATAATGTCTCTTTAGAGGCCAATCAATCTTATGTACTGGAGAATTTGTAGTTTTCTTTTAATAATTCAAAATATCACATAGACTATTTCAACCAATAGTTACTTCAGTGCTCTACGGGAAAACAAAATTCTTCCTTTCTGGGTTTGGTGTTGTGTAGTTTGATTATTCTTTACTTCTTTTCTGCTGTCTCCAGTTTGTCACAACTGCTCCATTCTATTCTTGTATCCAATTGAGATCTAGTTTTTAAAACAGTGATGGTATGTGGCATTTGTCTTATTTCATTTAACACAATGGCTTTCACGCCCATACATTTTGCTGCAGATAACAGCTTGTGGTTTTTGTTTGGTTAATTGGTTGGCTGGTTTTGGTTTTGGCTAAATAATAACCCATTGTGTATATACGCCACAATTCTTTTACCTTTCATTCACAAAAGGCATATGTGTTTATTTTGTCCTATAACTATGTAAATAGTACTACAATTATTATGGAACTATGGTATCATTTTGTGATAATGACTTATCTCCTTTAAATATATGTCTAATAGTGGAATTGACAGAAGATGTGTTAGGTCTATTCTTAGTACTAAAAGGTATGCTTGTATCATGAATTGCTGAATCAATTTTCATTCTCACCAATTTCATACATTTTCTGTAACACACTTTGATACAAACTAAAATCCAAGATTTATTTTGCAAGGCATGGGTGTCTTGCTGTGTGTTTGATTTTCAAAGCAATGTTTATCACATTTTTAGTAAAGAACAGTGCCAGTTACAGAGCATATTATTCATAGTAAGAGTAACTATTGGACAATTTTTAGTATTCACAGAATAAATTATAAGTAGAAGAGAAAATAAGTGTGGTTGGTGTAGCAGTTCTGGAGTCAGAAGTTAGGAGTCATTCACAAACAACAATGACAAAAACTAAGAAAGCTAGTTCCAACTCTCACTTTCCAGATAGTGACCTCTGGAAATGTTTTATTTAGATTAGACATTTAAAGGCATAGGGTTTTCTGAATACATATACTATGTGTGTGTGGTGTGGTGGTGGTGGTGATGGTGGTGGTGTGTGTGTGTGTGTGTGTGTGTATGCGTGTGTATGTGTGTGTCTTTTCTAGGGCCTATGTTCCCTTCCTTGTTTTTTTTTCTCTTTATGAAAATTCTTTTGTTATAAGTGGCTTTTTTTGTAATTACAGGTACTTCTTAAGGAAATAATTTCTTTCCAATAAATAAAGTGATAATTTGTTATTAAACATGATAATATTAAAGAACATTTCTGTAGGTTAAACAATAAATTATTTTTACTTGTAATAATGTCTATCTAGCTCTTCTTCAATATGCAATGAAATGCATAGTTTACAAAACTGCATGATTAATAAAAGTAAATCTACCCCATAAATGTGGATAATTATGACAAGAGATCCAAAACATTAAACTAATACAAATGAACAAAAAAAAAAAGCAAAATATTGCATTCTTAAGAGAAAATGTGTAAATGAGCAAAGGTAACAGACCCACCTTTGTCTTTATTTGAAGCTGATATGTCTTTGGTGTCTTTGGAATCTTCTAGAGAACAAAAATGAAAGGCAAATCACAGTTGAAATTTTTTTGTTGTTGTTCAAAGGAAAACATTCTACTTAAAGATTTTAATGAGTTACAGGTTGGTAATCTAAACTCAGCTTCTAAATTAAGCAGTCTATATGGGGAAATGCTGGAGAGAGGCAGCACTGGGCTGAACCAAAGGCAGAGGGACAAAGTACAGGAAACACATCTCATCAAAGTACAGCACACATCACATCAAAATACAGGGCACATCACATTAAAGTACAGAAAATATCACAACAAAATGTTTCTAAGCAGCAAAGCAAACAATTGAGAATAAAAAGAGAACTTATGAAATGAGATAAAATATTTGCAAACCATGTAGCTGATAGAAGGTAATCTATTAAAATATGTAAGTAAGCCATATGCCTAGAGATAAAATAGCCCAATTATAAATATCCATAAAATGTATACACATGTTCAAAAGATACATAAAATGTGATCAATAACCATGTTAGAGTTCACACACCCAGAGAGGATAGGTAACAAGGAGGGCTCAAGTAGGGACACTCAGATCTCTCTGGGAAGGGGAAATAGAAGAGATTTCCTTGGAGGACTGGGGCCAGGTGGGGATGGGAACAGGAGGGATCAAAGAGGGACAGGTAGAATGTAAAATAAATAAATAAATAAATAAATAAATAAATAAATAAATACTATATTTATAAAAATATAATTAAAAATATACAACAAACATGATTCAGATATATATTTTTTAAACTAATTGTCATGGAAATAAAATAACAATAATATGAGATATTGAGTGTCAAATGGACCATTATCAGATAATGTCAAATAAAGCAAATATTTAGAGGAAAAGAACATTTTTTTTTGTTTACTTTCTTGGTTGGAAATTAAATTGGTCTATGTACCAGATAAAAATGTTGGAGTTTTTCAAATGCATGAAAATTCTATATGTTACGTAATATCCAGGAACTCCAATTGGTGGTATTTGTTCAGGACAAATCTGGTTCATCACATGCATGTAATTTTTTAAGACAATGACCGGAGAGATGTTTCAGTGGGTAGAGTGCTTGCAGGTGTGGGGTCTTGGGTTTAGATTCTCAGAACAAACAAAATGCAGTGGTGCACATGTATAACCCTAGCTCTGGGGATGAGGAAATAGGAGGAACTCTATGGAACTTGCTGACATTCCTAAATCAGTTAGCATCAGGGACAGAAAGAGACCATGCCTGAAATGCCAACGTGAAGGGCTGTGCTTGAAAATACCTGTCATAGACATATAGTTTCCACATACATGTGCCTCCACTTATAAAAACCTGCACCTGCTTATGTGCACAGGAAGAACTTGCACACCAATGGCACATATGCACAATTATCTAAGACAATAGATTGTAAAGTTCATCCTACAAAAGTTAACTAAGCCAACTAGTATACTGATTATATTAGTCATAATAATTATATCTTGATGCATATGTATAGTAAAGCATCAGATTGTATAATTTAAAATGTACAATTTATCTTACCAACTATACCTGAATGAAAGAAGAGAAAAAGACATTAAATTTGAGCTGAATCTCAAAGATATAAACAATAACTTATTTTATATTTTGAAAATTACTTTGTCTTTTATATATTCTGACTTGCAGGCACATACAGAATTGCATTAAAGTACTTTTAAATCATAGACAACACTAACAAAATATATTGGAGCAATTTTAATTTTCATTGCAATCTTTTAGTACTTATAATTGTTTTATTTACTCAGAGTTTTTATACCATATTTTAACTGGTAAATGGAAAAGGGGTAAGATAGTATTTTATTTTTTCTAATGGAATAGAAATTATGAACTTCAAGGAGAAACATTATTATGTAAAAGAACAAAATGGAAACAAAATTGCTTGCCCGATTTGGTAGTTTGCAATTAAAGTATGAATGGGCCTCTTTTAAAGTTTGTTTCAGTGTTGGCTTTGATCATTTAAATACTGATGAAATGGTCACAATCTTTTTTTTAATTAATTAATTTATTTATTGAAGATTTCTGTCTCTTCCTTGCCACTGCCTCCCATTTCCCTCTCCC